TCAACACGTGGTGCCTCTTCCACAGCCTCACAAACATCGTTTGACAACAATTCCTCGCTGCCAGGCGCACAGGTTGTCACCTCATCGACCCTGACCTCCTGCCCCTCTTCAATCAACTTGTGTCTGTGTACCTAGGACAAGTATTTCTAGCTCTCTCTCCTGAGTGCCCCAGGGTTTCGTCATCCACTAGGGATGTTGAGGTGTAGTCGAATATATGATTTACTGATTAGTCTCGGCTTATCGGTTAATCTTGTCGACTACACACCTTTCCCCTTCCTTGCGGCCTCTGTATCGAAAAAGCTGGTTCTCCCCCCATGGTGCTGCCTGCCTGTCCCCCCTCCCCAGCACTGCTGCCTCTGTTAGAGGCAACAACATGGGCAGGGGAGGATGCTATGATGCAACCTCCCACAGAGCAGCCACTGTCCACAGTGAGGCTGGGCCTGCCATGGACAGAGGCTAGTCCCGGCAGCAGCTCCTGTCCACCGGGAAGTTCAAGCGTCCTACAGACAGAGGCTGGCCTCTGTCCACTGGGAACTCAGACCCCTCATGGACAGGGGCTGCTCCATAGGAGGCAGCCCAGCCTCTCCCCACCACCCCCTCAGACCTCCTCATGGACAGGCGTTGCTGCCACCCCACACTGCTGCCTCTTTATCAGAGGCAGCAACATGGCACAGCAGTAAGCCACTCTGCACTGGGAGCTGGTTTTTAAACTGTCTCCCCTTGCGGAATGGCCCCTGCCTGGCACCCCGTATTGCTGCCACAAATAGAGAGGCAGAAGTGTGAAGTGGCAGGGGGCTCCCCGGGAGTGAGGCTGGAGCACACTGGCTGCTGGCCCTGCCCCTGAGAACTATAGAACAGTCAAGTAACCAACAAGAATTCATATGGTTACTCAACTGCTCAATGAACCGACATCTAACATCCTTAGTCCCCACCCAGCATTCCATCCAGTTCTTTATAAAACCAGCATGTTTTGGCTTTCAGCTCAGCTTTGCAATACAGCTTGGCTACTTAACACCCAACACTGCTCCCCAGCATCTCAGGATTGAGGATCTGGGACCATCAGAGGAGGCTGGGCCTTTGTCTTCCACTCCCAGGTGCCCCAGCGGGGTGCGAGTACATGAGTTTTAGTCTGGTAAACAGATGAGATCTACAGAACTGTGCTATTTCTTTGTAGCCCTGTGGTTTGGAGCTCTGATTGTTCTTTCCTTTGTTGTAATGAAATCTCTAAAATCTGGCTTTGTCCTCAGCATGAATGTCTTTGCCACACCCGAGTGCCTGTACAAACTGCAAAGCATGATTAGAGGTCTCGGGGCCAAAATGAACTCAATCTATTCTCAAACTTTAAATGGGTAAGAAGCCCAGCTCACTGGCATGGAGCCGGGCATGGAATGCATGTACAAAGTAGTGGACTATGTTCTCTAATTCTGTCACCTGATTTGGGAACAAGAACCTATGTATTTTCTGGTCAGATCATTGGTGAAGCTATAATAAATTAGTCCATAAAAATCAGGTTAAACAGTAGGGATGGGTTCATCAGTTAACTCTAGGGATGGCCTCATCGGTTAACTCTCATGGTAACACATACAGCCAACCTCCCTCCCCCCCCCCCCCAGTGCTGCTGCCTCTATATAAGAGGCAGCAGCGTTGCGGGGAGAGGGAGGAGCCAGTGCTGGTGGGGAGCTGGCTTTTCCCACCTGCATATAAACGTGTAACTGCAGAAAATTTCAGTGGTTACACATTCACATTTTAACCTCCCTAGTTAACAGGTAGATCCCAAATCATGGCAAACCACCATGGAAGTTCTGCTCATTTTGTTTATGAAAAATGGATTTGTGCTGGAACAGGAGGACTAGAATGGTGTGTCTGCACTGACATATGGAAAAAATGTGCTTCAGCTGAGAGATCTGTGGCTGCCCGGGAGAAGTCTGCCATGCTCTTGAAGAGCATGGTGTGATTCATTTTGTTTCTTCCTTGCCCTTAAGTTCACAAATTGCAATGGGCTCAAAAGCAAAAAGCAAGGGCTCCTTTTGGCACTCCAGAGAAAAGGGGGGAAACCAAAACTGAATTTCAGCACAATCTCAGAACTGGAAACATCGGAATGGATTTCTGTGGAGATCTGCAGCTGATGAATAAAGGGAGAAAGAGGAGTGGGTGTGGAAGACCTCTTACAACACATCTAGACTATGCGCGGCTTCCGAAAGATATGCAAATTCAGCTTAAATGTGTACATCTTCCAGTTTTCTTCCCTGGAAGAGGCTTTTCCGATATTTGACCCGTCTACATGGGGCCAAATATCGGAAAAAACCCTCTTTCGAAAGCCCCCTTATTTCTCCTAAAGGGAGGTTTACAGGGAGCTTTCGAAAGAGGAGTTCGTATAGACAAGCCAAATATAGGAAAAGCCTCTTCCAGGAAAAAAGAAATATGCAAATCTGAGCCAAATTTGCATATCTTTTTAGAAGTCGCATGTAGTCTAGATGCGCCTGCAGTATACGCACAATATGCCTGAGGAAGCACATAACCAAGATTAATCTCTGAACTTGTCTTGCTGGTTAGATTATCAGCACCTTTAAGCTGGGTACTAATAGGAAACATGTTGTAAACTTTGATCCATGCTGCCTCCCACAGAAGGTATTAAAGGAGGCTGAGTCAAGATGCTGTATGGAATTTGGGAAACACCTTCAGTAGAGTCCTGCAAATCCAGATATCCACTTTATGTCTGCAGATGTGAATCATGGCAGCTCACATTTGCAGATGCAGATTTTTAATCTAGAAGCCTGCAAATGTGCAGCTCTCCATGTGCACAGATCATTTTGCAGACGCAGATACCAATTCTGTATCCACGTGGAGTTCTGTGCTTCAGGGCATTAGGAGTATCAATAGTATAGTAGAATGTCAGTGAGTTATGCCAGATATGCCATGTAAGATAGATGCACAAATGTCGTAAACTGACAAAAAAAAAAATCACATTTATATGGCTGTATCCCCTTTGTATTTTGGGTCAGGGACACATATGCATCTCTGGATTACACAACCTGTGCTATGTTGCTGGTGGCACCCAAGTTTGGAAATATACATGATGGCACATGAGCTATTCAGCTGACCCATTGAGAGAAGGCAAGGGGTACTCCTTATAACTCAGTAAGGCATGTAAGGTCAGGCCTATGACAGAACTCTTGACAGCTTCCAGGCCACGTGCTGGGTGGGCAGCTTATGTCTGGGACAAAGGAAGTACAAGCTACTTGGCAAAAGGAATAGAAAAGGCAGCTGCATCATCTCCATCTTATCTTCTGTACTGCATCTTACCTCTGGAGTAACCTTTCTACAAATAGTGACAGAAATGTAGCCGTGTTAGTCTGGTGTAGCTGAAACAAAATACAGGACTATGTAGCACTTTAAAGACGAACAAGATGGTTTATTAGATGATGAGCAAGTGGGTCTGGCCCACGAAAGCTCATCATCCAATAAACCATCTTGTTAGTCTTTAAAGTGCTACATAGTCCGGTATTTTGTTCTTTCTACAAATGAAGCTCTGAACAAAGGACTGAATGACCCATCTAAGCAACAGATGTGTTCCAGAGGGACTTCCAAGCCAACAAACTCACCACTACTGCTAGGAACCTGATAGACTTTGGAGTGTTTGCAGGTATTTGATTACTTCACAATGTAGACTTTGAAGTGTTTGCAGGTATTTGATTACTTCACAATGTAACATCTCTCCTCCTCTTCTTTTTCCGTATAATAAACCTTTAGTTTCAGATACAAAAGACTGGCTGGCAGCATGGGAGTTTGGGTAAGATCCAAACCTATACTGAGCTGGTAATATGTCTGACCCTTTGGGATGAGAACATTTTGTATATGGGATCAAGGTTTTTTTTAAAGTAACTTCTTACTGTACTGGACCTAGGTATGGGGCAGGCAAATATCGGTCTGTGGGCCAGATCCAGTTCAGTAGGGTCAGTCCCTGGTGGGCCCCCCCTCTGTTTACCTGCACCTCTGCAGGTATCAGGCGATTGTGGCTCTCGTTGGACGCGGATCAGAGTTTGTGGCCAATGTGAGTGGCGGGAAGTGGCGCAGAACGGGACGTTGCTTCCCACTCCCGTGGGCCACGAACAGTGATCCATGACCAAGAGCTGCAATCACCTGATACCTGCGAAGATGCAGGTAAACACAGAGGTGAGGGCCCATCTGGGACTAACCCTAGCAGGCTGCACTTTTTTACTGCCCACCCTGATCTAGGTTCTGACTGGGAGCCAGAGAACTGGAATGCCAATGAAGGGGCTGTGGGATTTCTTCTGGGCTTCTCGATAACAAGTGTGAGAGGAAACCCTAGGAGCCAGAGAACTGGAATGCAATGAAGGGGGCTTCTAGGTTCTGACTGGGAGCCAGAGAACTGGAATGCAATGAAGGGGGCTGTGGGATTTCTTCTGGGCTTCTCGATAACAAGTGTGAGAGAACAGAAACCCAGTTTATGACTGGTTGGGGAATCTAACGTCAGTGTTACCGACCTATGTTCCTGCCCTGACCTTGGCAATTGGCGAAACCCAGTTTATGACTGGTTGGGGAGTCTAACGTCAGTGTTACCCACCTATGTTCCTGCCCTGACCTTGGCAATTGGCGTTTCCAGTGAGGGCTACTTTAGACACCCACCATCACAGGAATTTTAGATAAAAACATGCTACAGACTCATGATAATGAACTAGAGACGCTGTGGGATTCCTCCCCCAGGAATGAATAGTTGAGATCAGAGAGAAATGAGGACTAGTCAGCCGATACCTGGAATATAACACTCCATTCTCGGCACCATGAAGCTAGAAAAAGGAAGGGCCCCATCTTCCAAACTTAACAATAAGCAGCTGACTAAACAGCCTGATTTTCAGAGGCACACGCATCCAACCCCTGCCCAATGCTCAGCACCCCTGGAAATCAGGCCACACATCTGTAGGTGCCTAAACCTGGACATGGGCAGTGAGAGGATAACGGCACCAGGTGCGGGTATCAGAGCTGGTTTGTAAAACAGTTTATTAATAGAAGCCACAACAAGCTCCGTAAGCACAGGCTGAGAGTCCATTTCCAGGCCACCAACACTGGTGGCCCTAGGCTCACTTCACGCCAGCCTTCTCCAAGTCCTCTGGCAGGATGCGGCCCTTCTTCCGGGCCCTGTCCTTCCTGTGCTCCACCTTGGCCAACTTCTTCTTCTGAATGTTCTTGCGCCGCTTGTCCTGCCGCTGCTGCATCTTCTCTACCACGTGCTCCGTCCGCCTCCCCCACTGCTTCTGGCGCTGGGCTTTGCGCTTCTCCTTGCGCTTCAGGGCCGCCTTCAGACGGTCCTCATCATCGCGGATCTTCACGCCTTCAGCCTTGTAAAGGACGTTGGTCCACTTCATCTTATTTTCCAGCTCCTGGGCTTTCTTCTGGTCCTTGTCTTTCAGCTCCTCCAGTTTGCTCTTCCTGGCTTCCAGCCTGCTCAGCAGTTGCTTGTAGTTCTTGCCCGTTAGAGGAGTGAGGTTGCCTTTCACTCTCTTCCTCTTCTCTTTTTTCCTCTCTGTCTGGCTCAGTTCCTCCTCCTCGCAGACTTTGACCCGGTTGAAGAGGATCCCATCCTTGCTCTCCTCCTTCACTTGCTGCGGCTCCACAGCTGTAGCTGCCTCCTGGGCTCCCTCCTTCTCCATTTTCTCCTTCATCTTCAGCTCCTTTCTTCGGCGCTTCTTTCTCTCCTTCTCATACTTCCGTCGGCGCCTCTTCTCCAGCACCGCTGGTGATAGCTCTTTAGCGCCCCCCTGTGGGAAAGGCCAGAAGACAAGAAAAGCTGTAATGGGATTGTGCAGAATTACAGCTGAGATAACCACAACTTCCTGGATTTACATTTCGCATGACAACTGTAAACATTGTCTCAGGATAGATGGTAAATCTATGGTTAGGAGTCTGACTTTCAGAGGTGCTGAGTACCCAGCACTCCAGTTCCAGTTGTGCATCCCAAATCCTGCCAGATCTCAGCCTTCTGGGAATCTCAGAACCTCCATCCTTCGTGCATACATGCATGAACTTCTCCCTTATTAGCCTGAGACAAGGGACATGTGGAGTCCACAAAGGTTGGGATTTCCTCAAAACTTGATTCTGGAGCTGTTTCTCCTCTCCTGAGAGTCCCACCAATGTGCACCTCCTGCACTTGGGTCCTGCCGTAAGGGCAGGGGATTGGACTTGATGATCTCTTGAGGTCCCTTCCAGTTCTAGAATTCTATGATTCAGTGTTCTCCTCCAAGACTGGAGCGCATCAACCGGCTGTCTAGTTTCCCTTGTCACTCTAGGCCATATGCTACCTTCACCTCCTGCACAGAACCCTGAGTAACCTCAACAGGAGTGTTCCCCTGAGACAACCCCAAAAACATCATCTCCAAGGAGAATGAATTCCCTTCATGGGTCACTTTGCAAGCTCTGGATACTTCAGAGTGGCCACCCAGTCCGTATGTCTCTCAGCAACAAGCTGAAATGCAGGGGGAAGAAAGTGACCCACCAATCTATCCAACAAGTGGCTAACACCTTTACCTGACCAGAGACTTCTTGCATCTTCTCATGCAACTTCTGGCGCAAGAGATTCACAGCAGAAAACGAACCAGGATCGCTTTGTCCACCTGGTAAGGAGAGTGGGAGAATGAAGTACAGGCAGTCCCCGGGTTACATGGATCCGACTTACATCAGATCCCTACTTACAAACGGGGTGAGGCAACCCTGCACTAGCTGCTTCCCCCCAGCAGACCAGGGAGACGCGAAGCTAGCGCCCCTCCCCCAGCAGACCAGGGAGACGCGGAGCGGCTTTTCTCAGCAGACACCTTAGCTCGAGAATAAAGGACTGAGGGAAGTGAGGTGTGGGAGAATAAAACTGAGCTCTGGAGAAATGTTTGGCTAGAGTTTCCCCTACAATATGTACCAGTTCCGACTTACATACAAATTCAACTTAAGAACAAACCCACAGTCCCTATCTTGTACGTAACCTGGGGACTGCCTGTAATTCACTTTGAACAGGCCACTAGCCACACAGGAAAGATCTTTGACAGTTTCCAGAGGGACCCAAGAAGGAAATGCAAGACACTGTCCTCAGAAAGGAACATTTCTTTAGAATTCCCTCTCCGCCATCCCTCACACTACTCAAAGTGATTGAGCCCGGAAGAATATTTTAACACCATCTGGCAGCTGGTCAGTTTCTCTCTCATGCACTCAGTGCAGCTCTGAGCTATCACACTTGCAAATGCTACTGGGTCATGTCTAAATCCAGACAAAAGCCTTTTCACTGAAGACTACAAGAGGGGTGGGGGAAGAGAACATTATGAAGACTCTCCTTTCTATTTGTGTGAAATGTGCGTTTTCAAACGCAGGCCCACTTTACACTTAAACATTAGACTGACCTAGTCATGTTGCTCAGAGTTGTGAAAAAATTTTACACTAACCCTCATGGTAGATTGGGGGGAGGAGCCACTGACCCCCAGAAAAACCAGTCAGGGCCGCGCACAAGTGAGATGCAAAGTGAGACGCCCCTCCACTGACCCCCAGAAAAACCCGTCGGGGCCGCGCACAAGTGAGATGCAAAGTGAGACGCCCCTGACTGAGGAGAAAGACACTCCCCACATTCCCCTCACACACCAGAGCCTGGGGGGCAAGGCTAGTAGATTTTGTGTGCTCCAGCCCTGTGGGTGGGTGGTTGGCTGGAGGGAGGGAGGGAGCACCAGTGCGGGCTCCCCAATGCTAAGCCTCAGGGGCCGGATCCAGACAAGCCAGGGCCTACATCTGGCCCTGAGGTTCCCCACCCTTGCTGTAGATGCAGCTATGTCAACAGAAGGATTCTTCCATCCACCTAGCTCCCACCTCTCGGAGAGGTGGATTAACTACATCACCTACGCTACAGCTTGACAGTGGTAGCACCATAGCTGTGCAGCTGTAGAGCAGACATACTCTCACTCCTCAATACATGTGGGCAGCCTGTCAAACTGTGCAAGGGACTGGAAGCAGGTGGGGCAGATTCTAGGGTGCCTGTAAATGAGTCATAGTCCCAGGCAGTGGAAATAAAGAACAAAACCACCCACAGCAATCAAACTAAAGCGGGTTTAATTTTCAGCCTCTCTCCTTTACCATGTGTGTGAAAATCACTTTTTCAGGGGATCAGCAATCCAGTCCCAGCAGAGCAGGCAGGCGACTGGCAGAGGTGTCAGTCATGCCAGCATCTCTAGTTGACAAAGTGTTCCACAATAGGAAGAGTCTGAAAAGCGACAGTTTAGGGATTTGCAGAACCCCCTTCCTAACCACAGTGTGAATCTGGGTGTCAACGGTGCACACACAATCTTTGTGTCTAGAAGATGTCTAATGAGTAAAATGTTATATTTTCTTGAAGGATTTCTAAAGGTTTTGTACCATGGAAAGGCATCAATTATACTGTACATGCTACAAAGGATTGTGGAAAAGGAAAATTTAGGCTAATGATTTGCTCCATGAGGAAAGAAACTTCATGGTTTGGGGTTAAGATTTTTCCCGGAAGAGTGGTTCCCAACCTTTTTTATGCTGCAGACTGGCAGACACATTCACAAATGCTTGGCAGACCGGTAACATTTTGTTTGCATATTTATTATGCAAATAATGAATATGCAAATTAAATGTTGCTAGTCTGCCCAGCCCCTTGCTCCCTGGTGCCTAGCACCCTGACCCCCACTCCTACACCCCATGCCTTTTGACCTCCGACCCCTACAGTGCATGCCAACCAACACCCTCTTATCCTGTGACCCCACCATGCCCTCACCCATTACCCCACCACATCCCCCCAGAGCAAGACTGCCCTCTCTAGGGAGCATGGCCGTTACTGCCATGTAGACAGGAAGAGCAGCCCTTCTCCTTTGCACCCCCTCCCTCCCTAGCGCACCTTGCATCCCTATGGATGGAGGGAGGAGCATGGAGACCCGGCT